TCATGGTGTTGACTCTCAAAATGTCTGAGAAGCTGTTCCAGGTCAGGTCTCCCAGTGCCCAACATGACTAGTTGCACATCCTGGTCCACCATCCAAGGAATGGACTCAGCAATGAGATCAACACCTTTCTGATGGTCAAGCTTGCCAATGAACCCAATCAGAGGAACATTCTCCCGAAGAGGAAGACCAAGCTCCCTTTGTAGAGCTGCTTTGCATTGAGGCTTGCCAGTTTGAAGAGTCTCCACAGAGTAATTGGTGTAGCCATCTGATGCCAGGTAAACGTCCAACTTCTTTAGTTTTCAGTCTGAAGAGTCTCCCTTTGTAGAGCTACTTTCCATTCTTTTGCATCAATCCCATTCACGATGCCCTTCAGCTTCCAATCACACTCATTTATTATTTGATGTAGACCCCAACCACCTTCTTTAGTTTTCAGCTCCCAGGCGTAACCATGGCTTACAGTGACTACACGATCTTCTGCTTTCAGGCCAGCTGCAAGGATATTGAAGTGTTCCCCTCCTCCTGGGTCATGTAGTTTGAAATGATCTATGTAGTTTTGTGGAAGATCCACATAACGAAAATCGCTTACTGGACCACGACCCTGGTGTGCTATGTTGTGGATCACAAGAACGCACCAGGTATACTTACAGAAGAGAACCTCAAGAGTAGCCTTACAGAAGAGAACCATGCGTTTTAAAATATCCTCTCGGCCTCCCCCATATATATTTTTCTCAATATTGCGAAGCATAGGGTTGTCCATGAACACAAAATCCATGCCATCAATATAAGCTTGAAAGAAAGTTACCTCCATATCCTGCCCATCCACCTTATATCTCTTGCGCAGTCCTGTTTTTGGATTTCTGCATAGTTACCATATTGTGGTGCCACAACCATAACTCTATGTCCACGCCGAGCCAAAGCCTTCGGTAAAGCCCCAGCAACATCGCCAAGTCCACATGTCTTCGACCCAGGAGCGCATTCTGCAGGTACCAATATAATGTTCATGACATTGTCTCTGGCCAAAGAAGGAGACTTTACAGTTTCATCCTCCGTGCGCTGATTACGAAAGAATTGCTCGTAGTGGTACAGCCATCCCAGTGGGTCGCCGCTACCGCTGTATGAGGAAAACTCCAAACGGCTACACTTGGGAATAACTGCGGCTGTCGGGGAAGCGATCTGCTGTTCGTTGGATGCCTCTTCCAGCAGGCACCGCAGCTCCCAGACATCTTCCTTGACTTCACGAACCTCCATGTTGGTTTCTTCTAGCCTATGTTCCAGTTCGTGGACCTTGGATGATAATTGCTCCATATCGCCCATGACGTTTGGCTCTGATACCAAAATGTTATGGGCCCATGCATAGGATCTCGTCACGGGGCTAGCCTTCCCTTGCCCTTCCCTTTGCATGCTGACCCTATTGTGGCGAACTAGGGGGTGATGTCACCCTAATTCTCCTAAGCTCTTTCCTTGATCGAAAATTCAATGCCTTTACTTTAATTCGTAGCTCCTTAAATAGGAGATTACAGAAGGAAATTCCTTGTTGGATTCTGCTAGGCTAGGGTAATCCAACTCAAACTCAAACTCGTAATTACCTACTCCTAATGGCAACACAACTCTTACTTAAGAAGATAAGATAAGGGTAAGGGATGAGGAATGATGTAGCTGGCGGCGAGTTGGCGGGCAGAGCTGTTGTGGTAAAATAAGTGTGGACCCACCCTGATGAGCTGTCGTGTGGGCCCCGCTCTACTGCCCTGCCGGGCGGTGCACGCGTCTCATAGTGCTGCTGCCGTGTGGTGCATGCTGCTGTCTAGTGCTGTTGTCGTGCGGTGCATGCAGCTGCCTAGTGCTGTTGCCGAGCGGTGCGTGCTGCGTGTTGTCGGGCTGTGCGTGCTGCGCGCTGTCGGGTGGTGCATGCTTCTGTGCGGGCTGCTGCCTATGGCTGCTGCCTATGACCCGAATTTGATGATATCCCGATCTCAGGTCTAGTTTAGAGAATATGGTGGCCCTGCCGAGTTCATCTAGTAGTTCATCGATTACCGGTATGGAAAATCGATCCTTCACAGTAATGTTGTTCAGAGCCTATAGTCTATACAAAACCGCCATGTCCCATCCTTCTTTTTCACAAGTAATACTGGCGAGGAGAATGGGCTTTGGCTGGGTTGTATGATTTTTCTGTCAAGCATATCTTGCACTTGCCTCTCAATCTCTAGTTTCTGAAAATAGGGGTAACGATAGGGCCTTACATTTGTGGGTGCAGTTTCGGGCAGCAATGGAATGCAATGATCTTGGGCACGCTTTGGTGGTAGTTCCTTAGGTTCTTGGAAGATCATTGAGAATTTCTGAAGTAGTTGTTGTAGTTGTGTGCGACCTTCTTCGGATCTGCTTCCTTGGGCTAGAATGGGGTTGTTCCCGTGGGAGTCTATCTGCATTAAAACGATGTGGGCTGGGTCTGCTGCCTGTTTCCTTAGGGAGGCGAGACTAATAGGTCCTGGACCCTTGGATAGCTGCCCTTGAATATGCACCTGTGAGTTGCCCACTTGAAAATCCATGGTGAGACGGGCCCAATCACATATCACCGGCCCTAGTTGCCTTAACCATTGGATTCCGTGAACTACATCTGCTCCACTGGTTTCTAGGGGGTGCAAATCTACTTTGAACTCATGTCCTTGTATCTTCATCTTTAATTCTGTGCACGTAATGTCACACACCAGGTTGCTCCCATTAGTTACATGCACCCAAAAGGCTGTACATGGTTGGACCGGAATCCCTAGTTGTCTAACAAATGTTTGGGTAATGAAATTGAGGGTGCTGCCACTGTCTATTAGAACTGACACATGGCGCCCTTGTACCAGTCCGGTTACTCTCATAGTTTGAAAAGAAGCAAGACCGGTCAAGGCTTGCAGGGATACTTCCGGGTATTCCTTTGTCCATTGCCCCCATTCTTGGTTGTCCATTGGCTCTTCAATGTTTGTTGATTGCTCGACATATTCGTTTCAGGTTGAAGGAAGAAAACTTGAGGGATCTTACAGCGATGGCCCGACCCGAATTTGTCTCCACATGCATAACAAAGGCCCTTTTCCCGTCGGGCTTGCATCTCAGCCCAGGTTAACCTCTTGGCTGAGCCGAGGCCTGAACCAGAGTTGGCATTCTTGCCTGTGATTCCTACTCCTGATCTGGGCTCCGGTTTACCCAAGATACCTGGTTCTAGGTTTGGTATACCTGGTCTGATCGTAGCTCCTAGAGGTCAATTAATCCTTCTTGCCCGATTAAGTTTGTCTTCATGTAGTCGAGCTAAGGCTACTGCTTCAAGAACGGTGGTGGACTGCATGGCTTTTACCTCCAGCCGCAATTTTTCCCTGAGTCCACCAACAAAACTGCCAACAAGCACATTTTCTGGCCAGCTTCGCACGCGCACAACCAATCTTTCGAACGCCATCTGATAATCTTGGACGGAGCTGGTCTGTCATAGCTTAGTAAGGATTTCATCATAGTTCTCAAAAATTGAGACTCCAAATCGCATGGTAAAGGCGTCGGTGAAGTCTACCCATGTGGCCCTTGGGTGTCGTTGCCGGTACCATTGGTACCAGACGATTGCCTCTCCTTACAGGTGTGCAGAAGCTAATGGAACACGATCAGATCCTTGTGTGTCATGGTAATCGAAGTATCTTTCTGTTCGTAGAAGCCAGGATGTGGGATCTCCCCCTGCGAAGATGGAAAACTCAATTCTTGTTGTTCTTGATCCGCTTTGATGACTGGTGTCATTGCGCTCTTCCTGATTCGGCGCAGGTGGTGCATGTACCAGTCATTCAAGCAAGGATGCAAATATTTCTTTGATTTCTTTGACATCAGCCGATATTCTTTGCATTTCTCCTTCCATGTTGTCGGCTTGGCATCTTGGCTCTGATACCAACTTGTTAGGTACTGCCTAACTCAGGGACTCTTTCGAGGGAGACCATCTCCTGAGAGAGAGAGAGAGAGAGAGAGAGATTGTATTCCCAAATCGATAATCCCCTCCTAACCTCCTTTCCTTATTTATATACTACTGTTACAATTCTGTTACACCAACCTCTCCACTGTCCTGTCCGCTTGTCTAGTTTGTTCTAGTTGTTAGTTACATTCTTTAAAGGCTGGCGTGGCCTTTTCTTGTACACTTGTATTCCCTTTATTTGTGTCCCAACAGTATATACAAGCTCAGAGCCAGGGTGGTAGTCTGTACTTTGGGTGCAGTGACATTTAACCCCTAGAAATTTTATTTGTGAAAAAAACCACCCTAAACATTCAGATTTCAGCACTTTGCCTCCGTTGTTAGCATTTCATTGGAAAAAGTTCAACTGTCATGTGCATGTTTAAAAGAAGAAAAACAGCCTTCTGAAATGAACGGACTGTTTAAAAAGATGCAAAAAAATGAATGAGAATAGCAGAAATTAAGAATCAAGAAGAGATAAAGAGGAAGAAGAAGGTGGCGACAATAAGGATTCAGAGAGAGACTTTCAAATCTAATCTCCTCTTACACCCGTAATCCCTTTTCATTAACTTAATTTCAGTAATTTACAAAGAGGCCCTTAATTGGGCGAATAATTAAAAAGACATAACATAAGAAGGGCCCAAGTTGAGGTCCATTATAGCAAAGAACATAAAGAAAACAAATAAGAAAACATTAAATATTTGTAAAACCCCAAACTGCCCTTATATCATTTCATGAGACCATTTTGTATGAAATTGATAAAATAGACAGAAAACAGAAAATAAAGGAAAAGTAGGAAATTGCAGAAGATGCAAGAAATACATCAAAAAATGAATAAAAAGAGGAAAATAAAATAAAATATGAAAAACAGAAAATTGTCATAAAATATAACAAAGAAAAAAGGAAATACAAAAAAAAAACACTAAAATTAGTAAAAAAGCAAACTGTTTGACGGGTACAAGCTGCTCTTAGACTAACCGTTTCTAATGTTTGATGGGCCAAGATTTTTCCACTATTCCAAGCAGTTCTTGCTTGTAGATATTGCATTACTAGAAAATAGAAATAAAGTAGCATCACTTAAATAGTGTTTCATGAGCAAAAGAAAAGAGATGATTGAACACCTCATCTTCCGTCAGGAATACATGAAGAGGCACGAGTATAATGCTCATTCTCTAACTGAAATCCTACCGGGTTTCCCTAATTAAACATTGCCACTTCTTGCGAGATTCATCAAGATCAGAATTTCTACAAGGAGATATTTTTTTGATGATTAAATAAGAGTTTCATTTAGATAATTTATAAAAAAAAAAAAGAGTTTCATTTAGATATCAATAAACTACAAACATGTCAAAACATTTACAATCCAAACAGGTGGGTCATTCCACCAGAACATCATAACTTCAGAAATTTTGACCTGATAAGCAACTAAATGTTATCCCTGTTCAAATCCATGTTAACATATACAAACTTAACTTCCAAAAAAATTCTATAGATAAAGTATTAACTGAATCCAAAGTATTTTCATATTGCCACGAAATAAATCCTTTAATTCCTTTAATGGCTTGGACAGCCATAAGAGAATCAGATTTGATTATAACAGACTGAAACCCATGATCTCTGGCTAGAGTTTCATTTCCTCCTCACAGCATGTTGCAGCCAGCCACACGTCAGAAACATCTCCCTTACTTGTATGTTTTCATTCATGGTGAGATGGTCTCAATGCACGGCTGCAAGCGCTCTGAGGTGGGTGTGAGGAGGAAATCCGGATTCCACTGGCCAAACAAGAAGTATAATGTATAGCCTTCAGTTTTGCTCCCACAGCTTCAAAATAACAAACCCAAATAAATAAGCAAAGTTTCCATCTTTAGAATAAGCAACAAATCTAAATGAATCCCTATTTGAAGATTTAATAGAACCACCTTTAGCAGAAAAAATAGATGGAAAAGATCAGATACTATCTGGCACTTGGTGAATGATGTCCTCTTGTTTTTTTGCACATGACATACCCGGTAGCAACATTTAAGCCCCAGCCTATAAGATGATGGTCAAGAGTCAAAACAATATCCAAATAAAAAACCCAGAAGACTTCACCACAGAGAAGGATTTAGCTTCTTTCCGATAGATTTTTTATTGTAAAAGGCATAAACAACAATACAGTATGCAGAAATAGAGCAAGATAATAGAGATAAGTTAGACGGCTATGTTGATTAAAAAGAAATAATTTGCTTAAAAATGATTAAGGCTTGGATAGAACCAAATGATTTGAACAGCTTCTCAATTTGTACATGTCATCCTTGAATAGGGTAGCATATATTCAGGTTATGTTTATAGAAGATACAAACAGATATATTTTTAATTAATTTCTTATAGACATTTTTTGTTTTAAGAAATAGAAAGGACAATTGTAAGCAATAATCAAATCTCTTTTTAATTAAATAAAGGACAAGCACTTCCTGATACAATCGTGGACTGCACAAGACCTAGTGTTGAATGGCCAAAATATAAATGACACTAGTGATTTATTTTTTTTCTTTAAATAAAAAAAGGCCTAAAATTCTTAACCAGTCATGTTTTTAAGAACATAAAACCGTATGAGTGACATTCAAAATCAGGAACATAAAACCAGAAACTAAACAACAATCTTTGTATAATCTAAAACATCAATGTTGGGGTAGCTGCCCAACACAGGCTCCTCTTCGAGGTGGAGCTACCTCCTTCAACAATCGAGAGAAAGAGAGAAAAGAGAGGGAGTGAAAGAGAGTAAGGACTGTTTCAGTTTTATTCTTCTCTTTCCAATTCAGAACATATCTTCCTTTCTATAATGAGTTACATTACATGTGTCTAATTTCTGTAACTGCTTAACCGAATCTTGGAAATCTTGACAGCTTCGCACTTGGTTCAGTTGCTCAATTAGTTGGATTGTTGCTGATGTGGTCCCTTCCCTTCTTTCTTCTAGAATATACGTTTGCTCCCTTTTGTTGGCTCCGCCATTTCCTAACAATTCCATCCCCTTCAGCACTGGACTCGTTCTCGAGGTCCAAATTTGGGAACTGATTTGCCGATGTGTTACAGGGTTCCCATGTTGCATTGGGGGAGTTACTCTAAACAGAGAGGGCTCTGTGATTTGGGCTTACAGTGGCCTAGTTGGTTCTGTAGATGCTTCAGAAGCTGAAATCAAAGCATTGGTGATGGGTCTGAGAACTGTTAGATCTCTGCAGCAGAATTCTGTTCTCATTGAGGGGGATTCTAGGAATGTTATTAATTGGTCCTCCCACCCAGAAAAGGGCCCTTGGAGGTTGGGTCATTTCCTCAATGACATTTTTGAAGTAACTTCTTCTCTGCATTGCGGCTTTAGATGGATTCCAAAAGGAGTTGAACTCGATTGCAGATTTTTTAGCTAAATCTGGGGTGGATAGGAATCTTTTGTACAGTGCTAACATATTGCCCCCTTAAGTGGGGAGATATTTTAGTTGTGAGGACTTGATGTTTTGTTTGTACATCCTCTCATGTACGTCCCCATTTTTTTGCTTGAATGAAATAGTTACCCTTTCTCAAAAAAGAAAAGTAATATTATAAAAAAGCAATAAAATACAACNCCCCCCCTTTGCCCCTTTTGATTATAATAGTTACCTTTTCTCAAAAAAAGAGAAAAAATCATGAGACTATGTGAGAATAGATCCCTGTCCAGTTTGGAGTTTGAAAATTCAGAAATTATGTGAGATTGTTCTCATCTTTCATATGTTTGTCTTTTCATTCTTCACATCTTTGATATATACTCATTAGATTACTTGGCAGAAATAACAAGGTGCACAACTGCAACAACAACAACAATAAAATGGATGGATAAGGGAAGATAAAGGTCTGTCTTGAATTACAAGATGAGAACACCTAAATATAGCAATGATGGCCTCAGCATTCTAGCTCTAAATTGACTGCAGTCCAGAGATAAAAGCAATTGGATAAACATATTCATCCAAACAAGGCTGTTTCTCAGTCATCCAACCCAAAGCCCAAAGCATATGCTAAAGAACACAACTACTTAATCTACACAAATTTGACATTGTTTTGCTGTTAAGTTAAACCATAAAAATAATTGGTCTTCAATTATAGAATTATAATAACATAAACTGAACATTCGTTACTATATGGGGGAAAACCCTCATATAACGTCAGTCTTAATCTTAGCATTAATCACATAACTAACTATGACAAGACCCCAAAAATATTTCAAGTCATTGAATAAGCAACAATCTTATCCTATAATAGGTCAGGATCTTTTTTTTTTTTTACTTATCAGCAAAGCCAGGATCATTGTATGGAAAGGTTAAACAAAATTAAAAAAAAAAAATGAAAGAAACACATCCAAAACAAGATGGAACCACAATACCATAACGTTGGGAGACCGAGAGAGAGATCTCAAAACATGGTTCTAAAATGCATTGCAGGAAATGAGACTGTTTACATGTGGTAGAACTTCATGAGCCCGGAGTTTCCAGATCCTCTTTACCCACTTCAACATCAGCTGCATAGAAGTATATATGCTCCTGAAAGATTATCACCTTGCCTTTTCTCAAGCTACCAACTGGTTTCAGCGCATTATAATCATGCTTGTAAGCAAATTGAACACCTTCAAGGACAACACTGTATTGTTTAACCCAATCTCCCTTGTGAAAATCCTTCAAAACCCATATATCATAACGCGACGTCCTTTCAATTCGAGTCGTTAATGCTAGGACATCCCCCAATTCAAACAGCCCATCTTCTCTTCCATATGCAGATACAGGGAGCCGTGTCATGTGAAACGTCTCATGAACCATGTCCATAGAATACATGTATTCCTCATCTTCATCAAAGGCCTCCTCATCTTCATGAAAGCCCGCTACGTTATTTAGGAACCGTTTAGTAGCAACATAGATTGAATTGTATACCCGAAATTCCTGAGGAACAAAAACAGGTCTCCATGTATCAGAACCTAGGCTAAGTATTTCACAAATGCAGTTATCTCCTTGTTCAGTAAGGGTTAAGACCTTGTACTCCTTTGTGGCAGGATGAAATGCAAATTCATAGGAATAAGAATATGATGTACTACTTCTAGGAGGGAGTTTGATGCATTGTTTGGTCACAGGGTTAGCGACGAACAATCCTCCAGTTTCATTGGCACCCTCCAACTCCAACAAGATTAAACCATTGCAACTGGCATGGATTCGAGTCTTAAACGGGGGTTCAAGATTCAAATAACGAACTCTTAACCTCTCTCCTTTCATCTCCAAAAAGATGGTTCTGAACCTCGGAACATGGCATTGAACAAGTAAACCAGGTTCAGAGCGAGAGAGATGTTGACGGATGAAATTGGGATCTGTAATAAGCTTAAACCAGAGCTTGCATACCGGCCTGAACTCGTAGAGGTTATGAGCTGGGATGTTTGCCAGGATGCCGAAGATGATTTCCTCTGGTATGTTTTCCAAATCCACCTTGCCATTCTTCTTGCTCTTGCTCTTCTTTCTTTCTTGATCAACCGTCACCACAATGTTATCAGAGTTTCTTCTCTGCATGCTCTCTCTCTCTCTCTCTCTATACACGCTTTTCCTCCACTCGCCGGCGCTATAGAGATACAAAATTTGAAAGCTTCAGATTTGTTAAGTCAGGGATGGTTTAGGATCGTTGCGAAGTAGACCTCGGAGAGATGAGTCTCTATGTTGTTTGTTCTCTCCCGGGTTACTTCACTTACCAGTAAGGCGTCAAAGAATAAGGAAGAAACACTGAAGCAGGAGAAAGAAGAAAACAGAGAGAACAGAGAAAAAACTTAAGAGGGTCCATGAAAAAGGTGTCGTCAAAGAATAAGGAAGAAACACTGAAGCAGGAGAAAGAAGAAGACAGAGAGAACAGAGAAAAAACTTAAGAGGGTCCATGAAAAAGGTGTAATTTTCGAGTCCAGTGTCGATAGAAAGAGTTTACTTCGCTGCCCACTCTGCCACTGTCCATCTCCATACACCTATTGTAGGCAATGGAATAGATAAGGTCTATTAATGGTTGATAGTAGATTCTATTGTATTTTACTAGCGGGACCCGTGGGATGCATGAATTTATTAAGAAAAAGTGAAATAAAATAATATTGTAAAATAATAGAATTCATTAATGTATTAGTCTAAATAATGTAATAAAACAGTATGTTTTATTAATGTAATCAAAATAGACTAAAAATAAAAATATCAATTTTGCCTCTAATAAAATATTGATGTCCACTCTTTTTTTTCGATTTGGTCAATTTTGTTTTTTATACAAAAAAGTGTTAGGGGTATTTTTGAAATAAGCAATCGTGAATTCATAACCCTTGAACATTTTCCACTTAGTTTAGGGGCACTTTTGGAATAAACAATCATAGGTCCATGCCCTTCAACATTTTTCTATTTACCTTAGGTGATCGTGATACAATTTTCAGATGGCAAATCAAATAGTTATTAATGAAAGCTAGATTAACTAAATAGATAGCAAACTATAAGGTTGCGTTTTAGTAAATTGCAAACTATAGGGTACGCTTAAGTAAATCTATGAATCTATAGTGGGTGTTTTATTATTATTATTATTATTATTATTATTATTATTATTAAAATGAATAAAAATCAACCTAGTACATGGGTTGCTAGCATATTTAGCAACCATGTACTACACTGGTTAGAAATAATATTAGAGAAGTGTCCAAAAAATTCTACAAAATTTCTTTGTATGTTGTACTTCTATTTCTAAACTTTTTATATTTAATTATGGCATGGTTCACCGTCTTACCCAAATGACTAAACTACTTGCCACCTAAAAAATCAGTCTTGTTAATTTGCAGGTCGATTTTGAATATATAAGTTTTTATATTATAAAAATTATTATTAAAAAATTTAATTAGTGAAATTTAATGCTAAGAAACAAAAATATATTAAATATATGATTCAATGAGGATAGGTTGGAAGTTAACCTTAAATATGAGACTTAATGATATGAAATTAATATAATGAAATAAAAAATAGTATTCAATTTACAATTTTATGTCTTCATAATAGAGAGAGACCAAATTCAAAGGGAGGGGTATTATAAGTTAAGAAAAAAAAGTCCATGAGCCTTAGAGATTTATTGCCACTTCTTATAGATTCAAGTAAATTGTAATTCATCTACAAATCAATATGTAACTCTAAGTATCTAGAGTCAATGTTTTAAAAACCGACTTGGAGTCAAACCATTTTTGCCTCCAGGATGTGGGTCATCGGTTCGATCGATCAGGTTGAACAGTTCAGACCATGCCACGTCAGCGTAATAGGTTTATATATGTATATATATGTACAAATACATATTTTATCAATAAATAATGTATAATTATGTTCTAGATATGATATACATATTATTTTATATTTAATTTGTGTTTTTTAATTTTTTAATTTATAAATATTAAAAATTGCAATTTGATGTAAAAAAAGGGTCTTTTTTGCAAAAATAGTGGGCCAAGGTGCCTATGGCCCTTCCGACACATAGATCCCGAAAAGTTACCCAAAGTAAAACAAAAAACAAAAACCTCAATCAGACATCAGAGTACAAGGTTATTGCCTCCCGAAGTTTGCATGCACAGTTTGTATACAAACTAGGTCCCAGTCACGGGTCAATGGTCCATCCATCTGGGTCGAATGGTTTTTGACAAAGTCAAGGGTTTTTTGGCATTTCTCTAGACCTAGAATCTTAACCGGATGACAGTTCAAACGTTTCAACCAGTCGGGTCAACGGCGGGTTGAAAACATTGTCTAGACTCTAGAGTAGTTAAATTTGCCTAGCTAAATAATCCATGCAATTTCAATTATAATTCATTAATATTTGTTATTCATAAATGTCTATTTAGACACGTTGTGAGTTATAAAAAAAACATGTTGTCCAGTTTTTTAAGATGCACAAAAGAATTCCGTTCCTGTCCTTTTATACGATTCAAAAAAAAAGAAAAGACAATGGAGGTTTCAATTTGTTCTATTCTGATCTCATTTTAAAGAATTGACAAAACACCTTCCCTGAAATTCAAATATGAAAGAATTAACAAAGGGGAAAAATACTTCTTTTAGATTTTGTTGAAACCTCGGGGTTATTAGTAATTCCCTCCCCC